GAAGAGATTTATTATCAAATTTAATGTGGCTCCTTTGAAATCGTTTGAAACAATTTAGCGTACCCTAGTAAGAGTGAGTCAAGTTGGAGTAATGGATAGCGGCTTGGATTGAGGAATCGGAGAGCCGAGTTCGAATTCCAGACGAATCCATTACATTCACTTACGTGCTAACACCCTTGGGAAAGGTGTGAATCCTCTTTCTTCTCCCTCCAGCTATGGGTAAATAGCAGGACAGACTGGGTTCTATAGCCTTGGATGGCAACTAGTCTAGGAGAAGGAAAACTCTGAATTCAAAACCTGCTCTTAGATGAGGGTGAATGGAGTCTCTCTGAGCTTTGGTTGGCAATCCATTTAGTGATGGTGTCACGATAAAAACACCCTTGATAGCCCTAGCGAAGCATCAAGAATTCAGCTAGTTGACAAGATTATGAAACTATACCAATCAAAGTATTGGTGAGTTAAATCTCGGCTGTAACCGCAGACTACTACTACTACTACTACTAAGAGTGAGTCTTTAAATTCGATGCGTCCAATTTAGATGTCAGTGTTATACAGGCCTTTTATTCTACATACATTTCTGTCGGGTGTAAAGTTCGATGATGGTAATGCATTGTGATGAGTTCAAACATCATGAAAAGAGAATCACCTAGAAATACACCTTTTTTATAAACACGTAGGGGCGAATATACATAATGAAACTTGAGCAAATAGTATTAACCCACGGTCAGATTAAGGCCGAACTCCAGTGTTACGTCCGTGTCACCATTTATTTATAACATCTCCATTCAGAAAGTTGGCGACATTGGTTCGCTAGACTTTCTGTCTTATCTGAAAATTAAAACAGGTAGGAAATTTCCCAGGTGAGTTTGCGCATGCGTACATGTAGTCGGCAGTGAAGACGGAATGAACAGAATCCAAGGCACGAAATAAATGTTTAACAGCTTCTGTGGATAAAAGAGAGTGAAAAATAGTGGTATTTTCGAGGAAAAAACCTAGTTTTCAACATTTAACAGTGTTCTTCCCATGAGTAGAACAACTCTTGGAATGATAATAAATCTTCGCAAAATGATAGAATGTTTAATAAAAAAAAAAGATTGAGATCAATAGTCTGAAGAACTCTTGGAATGATAATGATTCTTCTCAAAATGATAGAAGGTATCTTAAACAAAAAGAATATGATCAATAGTCTGAACGATTCTTGCAATGATAATGACTCTTCTCAAAATGATAGGAGATTTCTTAAACAAAAAGAATGAGATCAATAGTTTGAACAACTCTTGCAATGATAATGACTCTTTTCAAAATGATAGAAGGTATCTTAAACACAATGAATAAAGTCAATAGTGTGAAGAACCCTTGCAATGATAATGACTCTTCTCAAAATGATCGAAGGTATCTCAAAAAGAATGAGATCAATAGTCTGAACAACTCTTGCAATGATAATGACTCTTCTCAAAAAGTATAGAAGGTATCTTAAACAAAAGAATGAATCAATAGAGATCAATAATGACTCTTCTCAGAATGATCGAAGGTATCTCAAAAGAATGAAATTAGTCTGAAGAACTCTTGCAATGATAATGACTCTTCTCAAAATGATAGAAGGTATCTTAATCAAAAGAATGAGATCAATAGTCTGAAACAACTGTTGCAATGATAATGACTCTTCTCAAAATGATAGAAGGTATCTTAAACAAAAGAATGAGATCAATAGTCTGAACAACTCTTGCAATGATAATGACTCTTCTCAAAATGATAGAAGGTATCTTAATAAAAAAGAATGAAATCAATAGTCTGAACAACTCTTGCAATGATAATGACTCTTTTAAAAATGATAGAAGGTATCTTAATCAAAAAGAATGAGATCAATAGTCTGAAGAACTCTGGCAATGATAATGACTCTTCTCAAAATGATAGAAGGTATCTTAATCAAAAAGAATGAGATCAATAGTCTGAACAACTCTTGCAATGATAATGACTCTTCTCAAAATGATAGAAGGTATCTTAATAAAAAAGAATGAGATCAATAGCCTGAACAACTCTTGCAATGATAATGACTCTTCTCAGAATGATAGAAGGTATCTTAATCAAAAAGAATGAGATTAATAGTCTGAACAACTCTTGCAATGATAATGACTCTTTTCAAAATGATAGAAATTATCTTAATCAAAAAGAATGAGATCAATAGTCTGAACAACTCTTGCAATCATAATGACTCTTCTCAAAATGATAGAAGGTATCTTAATCAAAAAGAATGAGATCAATAGTCTGAAGAACTCTTGCAATGATAATGACTCTTCTCAAAAGTATAGAATGTATCTTAAACAAAAAGAATGAGATCAATAGTCTGAACAACTCTTGCAATGATAATGACTCTTCTCAAAATGATAGAAGGTATCTTAATCAAAAAGAATGAGATCAATAGTCTGAACAACACTTGCAATGATAATGACTCTTCTCAGAATGATAGAAGGAGTCTTAAACAAAAAGAATGAGATCAATAGTCTGAACAACTCTTGCAATGATAATGACTCTTCTCAAAATGATAGAAGGTATCTTAATCAAAAAAGAATGAGATCAATAGTCTGAACAACTCTTGCAATGATAATGACTCTTCTCAAAATGATAGAAGGTATCTTAATCAAAAGAATGAGATCAATAGTCTGAACAACTCTTGCAATGATAATGACTCTTCTCAAAATGATAGAAGGTATCTTAAAAAATGATCTCAAAAAGAATGAGATCAATAGTCTGAACAACTCTTGCAATGATAATGACTCTTCTCAAAATGATAGAAGGTATCTTAATCAAAAAGAATGAGATCAATAGTCTGAACAACTCTTGCAATGATAATGACTCTTCTCAAAATGATAGAAGGTATCTTAAAACTCAAAAGAATGAGATCAATAGTCTGAACAACTCTTGCAATGATAATGACTCTTCTCAAAATGATAAAGGTATCTTAATCAAAAGAATGAGATCAATAGTCTGAAGAACTCTTGCAATGATAATGACTCTTCTCAAAATGATAGAAGGTATCTTAATCAAAAAGAATGAGATCAATAGTCTGAAGAACTCTTGCAATGATAATGACTCTTCTCAAAATGATAGAAGGTATCTTAATCAAAAAGAATGAGATCAATAGTCTGAAGAACTCTTGCAATCATAATGACTCTTCTCAAAATGATAGAAGGTATCTTAATCAAAAAGAATGAGATCAATAGTCTGAAGAACTCTTGCAATGATAATGACTCTTCTCAAAATGATGATAGAAGGTATCTTAATAAAAAGAATGAGATCAATAGTCTGAAGAACTCTTGCAATGATAATGACTCTTCTCAAAATGATAGAAGGTATCTTAATAAAAAAGAATGAGATCAATAGTCTGAAGAACTCTTGCAATGATAATGACTCTTCTCAAAATGATAGAAGGTATCTTAAACAAAAAGAATGAGATCAATAGTCTGAACAACTCTTGCAATGATAATGACTCTTCTCAAAATGATAGAAGGTATCTTAATCAAAAAGAATGAGATCAATAGTCTGAACAACTCTTGCAATGATAATGACTCTTCTCAAAATGATAGAAGGTATCTTAAACAAAAAGAATGAGATCAATAGTCTGAACAACTCTTGCAATGATAATGACTCTTCTCAAAATGATAGAAGGTATCTTAATCAAAAAGAATGAGATCAATAGTCTGAACAACTCTTGCAATGATAATGACTCTTCTCAAAATGATAGAAGGTATCTTAAACAAAAAGAATGAGATCAATAGTCTGAACAACTCTTGCAATGATAATGACTCTTCTCAAAATAAAAAAGGTATCTTAATCAAAAAGAATGAGATCAATAGTCTGAAGAACTCTTGCAATGATAATGACTCTTCTCAAAATGATAGAAGGTATCTTAAACAAAAAGAATGAGATCAATAGTCTGAACAACTCTTGCAATGATAATGACTCTTCTCAAAAAAAAGAATGATAGAAGGTATCTTAATCAAAAAGAATGAGATCAATAGTCTGAACAACTCTTGCAATGATAATGACTCTTCTCAAAATGATAGAAGGTATCTTAATCAAAAAGAATGAGATCAATAGTCTGAAGAACTCTTGCAATGATAATGACTCTTCTCAAAATGATAGAAGGTATCTTAATCGAAAAGATTGAGATCAATAGTCTGAACAACTCTTGCAATGATAATGACTCTTCTCAAAATGATAGAAGGTATCTTAATCAAAAAGAATGTGATCAATAGTCTGAAGAACTCTTGCAATGATAATGACTCTTCTCAAAATGATATAAGCTATCTTAATCAAAAAGAATGAGATCAATAGTCTGAAGAACTCTTGCAATGATAATGACTCTTCTCAAAATGATAGAAGGTATCTTAATCAAAAGAATGAGATCAAAAGTCTGAAGAACTCTTGCAATGATAATGACTCTTCTCAAAATGATAGAAGGTATCTTAATCAAAAGAATGAGATCAATAGTCTGAAGAACTCTTGCAATGATAATGACTCTTCTCAAAATGATAGAAGGTATCTTAATCAAAAGAATGAGATCAATAGTTTGAACAACTCTTTAATCAATGATAATGACTCTTCTCAAAATGATAGAAGGTATTCTCAAAATGATGAAAATTATCTTAATCAAAAGAATGTGATCAATAGTCTGAAGAACTCTTGCAATGATAATGACTCTTCTTAAAATGATAGAAGGTATCTTAATCAAAAAGAATGAGATCAATATTTTGAACAACTCTTGCAATGATAATGACTCTTCTCAAAATGATAGAAGGTATCTTAATAAAAAAGAATGTGATCAATAGTCTGAAGAACTCTTGCAATGATAATGACTCTTCTTAAAATGATAGAAGGTATCTTAATCAAAAAGAATGAGATCAATAGTCTGAAGAACTCTTGCAATGATAATGACTCTTCTCAAAATGATAGAAGGTATCTTAATCAAAAAGAATGTGATCAATTGTCTGAACAACTCTTGCAATGATAATGACTCTTTTCAAAATGATAGAAGGTATCTTAAACAAAAATAATGTGATCTTTAGTCTAAACAACTCTTGGAATGATAATGACTCTTCTCAAAATGATAGGAGATTTCTTAAACAAAAAGAATGAGATCAATAGTTTGAACAACTCCTGCTATGATAATGACTCTTTTCAAAATGATAGAAGGTATCTTAAACACAATGAATAAAGTCAATAGTCTGAAGAACTCTTGCAATGATAATGACTCTTCTCAAAATGATCGAAGGCATCTCAAAAAGAATGAGATCAATAGTCTGAACAACTCTTGCAATGATAATGACTCTTCTCAAAATGATAGAAGGCATATTAAACAAAAAGAATGAGATCAATAGTCTGAACAACTCTTGGAATGATAATGACTCTTCTGAAAATGATAGACGGTATCTTAATAAAAAAGAATGAGATCAATAGTCTGAAGAACTCTTGCAATGATAATGACTCTTCTCAAAATGATCGAAGGTATCTTAAACAAAAAGAATGAGATCAATAGTCTGAACAACTCTTGCAATGATAATGACTCTTCTCAAAATAATAGAAGGTATCTTAAACAAAAAGAATGAGATCAATAGTCTGAACAACTCTTGCAATGATAATGACTCTTTTCAAAATGATTGAAGGTATCTTAAACAAAAATAATCTGATCTCTAGTCTAAACAACTCTTGGAATGATAATGACTTCTCAAAATGATAGAAGGTATCTTAAACAAAAATAATGTGATCTCTAGTCTAAACAACTCTTGGAATGATAATGACTCTTCTCAAAATGGTATATTGTACATACGTAGATATTTATATATGTATAAATTGAGGCTTTGATCAATAAATTTTACAATATATATACTTATCAATAGGGAGACTGTGATCTATCAATGGGTTGATATTGACAGCCTACTAATAATAGATAGATAGATAGATAGATAGATAGATAGATTGATAGATAGATAGATAGATAGAGACAGACTGACATAGATAGATAGATAGATAGATAGATAGATAGATAGATAGATAGATAGATAGATAGATAGTGAGAGAGAGAGCTTCATAGAGAGAGATAGAAACCATTTAGAAATTGATATTTTAGTTTGAATCCAATCAAGCCAATATTGTACAATATTTCTTCTGTCTTCATCTTTGATGTTACCTCTGGGACACTTAACTGTCTTCGATGTTTACAGAAATTGGCGCCGAAGCCATAAGCGTTTCGTGATCGTTCCAACCGGATGCTTCTTTGTCGATTTACCCGGAACCGCCGCATTGCGCTCTCAGTCTGCTCTGGGCTTCCTCCACAAACAGAAGACTCACGAAATGCACCATTTCCGGTCGGTAGATTATTTCCCTTGGCGACATGATATGGAGATCCTCTGTTTCTTGAAGCTGTCAAACGATACAGCATAAGACGCGTGTTTTTGTTTTGTTTTTGTTTTTTTTTTCCTCCCCCTTTCTTTTTTCGTATTAATAACAGTTCCTGTTTTTGATTTGGTTTTCTATAAGAGCTTTGTTCTAATGAATTCTTTCTGTCTTTCCTACCATTGTCAGTCTACCTCCATTCTCATTCTTTTATACTTAACATTTCCGAGGCGCAGTCAGATTATGATAGGAAAATATTGGCGGGAATTTGTGTTAAATCAAGCTTCTGAGAAGATTGTAAAACGACAGTGTTTTATTCCATACTAATAGGAATATATACTTGACATACATGGTGGATATAATAAGTAAAGGTCTATTGTAAAAAAAAACCAGTACAATAAGAATAAAGGTAACAGTTATGCACAAGGTCGTCGCAAGTCAATCCAGTAGTGAAATCTCTTTCCGAATCTCATGGTCATAATGCGAACGTTCTAACCACTCAGATAAGTTCATATACTACTACTACTACTGCTGCTTCTGCTGCTACTACTACTACTACTATTCTAAGGTCAGAAATGGCATCATGATATTTTCCACTGAGAAAAAGAAATAAATCAATCAAAGACTACACCCATTTTACATATATAAAGCCCTTCGTAAGATGTGAGTTTTACGTGTTAGTATTTCTTTAAGACATATGGATCCCTTCATTGAATCTATCGGAATATTTTCCTGTCAATTCGAGGGTTCCAACTACAACTGGAATTATTGATGTCTTCATGTGATATTTTTTTTAGATTTTCGCATCAAGATCCTTGTATTTTGATACTTTTCTGAAAATCTTCAAAGATACATCACTGTAGGAATTGTCATGTCAATAAGAAAGCATATTCTAATTTTGGTCCTTGATCCCGATGTCTGGGGAATTAGCCTTGATTGTTCTGTCTGTGTGGATTGTAAAGCCCCATAAAATCGTTACAGGTCTTATGCCTGCAATCGGGCCTGGATGTTGTTCATACAAGTTTATTGCCGTTTCTTTCCCGTAATTATTATTATAATTATTAGAAGACTATTGAATATATTATATTTTGTACCTCGGATCAGAGTGTAGTAGCTGTCCGATTCTGCAGTACCTCTGAGCTTGAATCAGTTCTGATCTCTAACAAGTCTATATCTCTAATACATTTTATTTTGAAAGCATTTTTAATAAAGAGAATTAAGTTCTGTTGACGGATTGAATCTATTGTCTTTTTTGTATAAATATACTTGTCTGCTTGTCCGTATGTATGAATATTATATTTTTCATCTTAGGATCAGAGTGGAGTATCTGTTCTTCCTTGAATCAGTTACGTTTGCTGAACAAGAATATTATATAATATTATACGGCTTCTTTGTATATAGGACCATGATTAGAGTGTAGTATCTGCTACATTCCCGGGTCTTCTGGCATGGAATAAGCTGAGCTTTACGGACTAGAATCTAATAACATTTGTATGTAAGACCACGACGTTTTTCTAACGAGGATCAGTGTGTAGTATCTGCTCAGATACTGGGTCTTCTGGCTTGGAATCATTTTAAATACTGTAATATATTATATACCTCTCTCATTTATATGTAAGAACATTATGTATTTTTGTCAAGGATCAGAGTCTAGTATCTGTTCGTACCATAGTTTTCTGGCGTGGAATCATTTGTGCTATAAGGACTAGTATCGATTCAATATTCTTTACATTTTTATTTACAGCCGTTATGCTTTTCTGCCAAGGCTCATAGTGTAGTATCTGCTCGAACCAGGGTTTCTGGTATGGAATCAGTTGTGCTTTATGGACTATATGTATTCAGTATTCTTCGCATTCATTTGTACGACCATTACGTATTTTTATTTTACCAAGGATCAGAGTATAGTACCTGTTCTATCTCCGGGTTTTCTGTCTTGGAAACAGTTGAAATTTTGGGAATAGGATTTATTCAGTATTCTTTTCATCTGAATGTACGACAATTAGGCTTTTCTACATCGGGTCGGAATGTAGTGTCTATTTGAAACCCAGCTTAGAATTACTTGAATTTTGTGTTTTCCTAGGGTCCGTTCATTTGTATCTTTTCGTAGTAATAACAGTTTAATTTGAAATTAAGCATTTATAATTTGAAATTGTGATTTTCTTTTTAATTTGCGTGTTAAAGAGTTTAGTATTCTGTTTGCTTGTTGTTTACTGCGTTTGTCCTTTTCTACAAAGAATCAGAGAGAGGTAACTGTCCGACCCCAGTCTCGTTCTGAACTGGAAACAGTCACCTGACCAAGATGCCAGATTTTCGTAGCAAGATTTTATAGTGCTATTCATTTGGATTGACTAGTTATATTCATATAGTTATATTTTTTGTAAACGTTAATATTACAGACAAACATTTGGTTTACTAATGGAATCTCCTCTCAGCAGCATTCATGCTTGTCTATTTTTAGAATTTCTAGAAAGTAACTCATTCAAAAATATTCTCCCTACAAACTCTTCATATTTCAGATACATGGATGATTCATTATTAATATACCCCCCCAAAACACTAATTTGAAGGATCTTCTTTCCAAACTTAACAAGGTTGAACCTACAATAGACTTCACTTTTAAAACTGAAACCAACTACACTCTAGCGTTCCTAGACATCATATTACATAGAAATAATAACGAACTCAATTTTGACGTTTACAGAAAGGCTACAAAAATGATCTAATAATTATATTTATATGGTTATATAGTTATATTTATATAGTTATATATTTATATTCATAAATTATGTTGTATGTAATATAGTTATATTTATATTTTTATATTTATATATGTATATATAAATTATATTGTATTTAATATAATTATATTTATATCGTTATAGAGTTATAATTATATATATATATATATGTAATATAGGTATATTCATTTAGTTATAGTTATATAGTTACATTTATATAGTTATACAGTTATATTTATATATAAAATGTATTATATATAATACAGTTATATTTATATAATTATATTTATATAGTTATATAGTTATATTTATATATTTATATAGTTATATATTTATATATAAATTATATGTAATATAGTTATATTTATATAGTTATATCTATATAGTTATTTAGTTACATTTATATAGTTATACAGTTATATTTATATATAAAATGTATTATATATAATACAGTTATATTTATATAATTATATTTATATAGTTATATAGTTGTATTTATATATTTATATAGTTATATATTTATATATAAATTATATTGTATGTATTATAGTTATATTTCTATAGTTATATAGTTATAATTATATATATATTATATGTAATATAGATATATTCATTTAGTTATGTTTATATAGTTATATAGTTACATTTATATAGTTATATCGTTATATTTATATATAAATTGTATTATATATAATACAGTTTTATTTATGTAATTATATTTATATAGTTATATCTATATACTTTTATACTTATATTTATATATAAATTATATTGTATATAATATAGTTGTATTTATATGTTTATATAGTTATAACTATATAGTTATATTTATATGGTTACATAGTTATATTTATATAGTTATATAGTTTTATTTATATAGTTATATTTATATATATAAATTATATTATATTTAACATAGTTATATAATATGGTTATATTTGAAATCAGTTCTGCTTTATGAATGAGAACAGAACATAATAACTGGGACAATTGGGAAAAACGATTGTGAAGAGATGGAGAAAACGAGAGTGGGGGAAAAGGAAAGGTCAAAGGTAAGAAAGCCAAAGGGAAACAAAAAGAAAACCAGGTGAAAGGTTAGAAATAAACATCTATAGGGAGAGAATCGTAAGTGATGGAGGCGAAAGACAAATATAAAAACAGGCTTGTTTGATATGATGGGAAGATGAACGAATACCTAACAATGAATGTCTGCATAGAAAATGGTTTAAAAAATTATTAAGTAAAATTCTTTATGGTGACATCGCGCAAAATAGTGAAGTGTAGTACAAAATATCTGTACATATCCTATTTGTTTCGACTTTGTTTTCTCATATTTTAAGTAAAACATATACCGGATATGAACACTGAAAGGGATATGAGTTACAAGCAAAGAGTGGGGGGATTGTGGAGGCATGAAACAAGAATAACCTTAGTTGTCAACACCTAAGGAATTTTCAGGGATCCTGTTCGTTATGTTATTGATATTTTAATGAAGATATTAAGAACAAAGTATCTACCGTACTATTATTATTATTTCTTTTAATTTCTGGTGTATATTCATTTCATTCCGGCTCCCTCCCAGAGATCTAATGTCAGAAATGACATCATGACATTTTCCACTGGCCAATTAAATAAAATAAAACAAAAATCACACATATTTTACAAAGATAAATCCCTTCGTAAGGTGTGGGCTATACTCGTGAGAAGAATTTTTGGTATTTCTTTAGGGCATGGGCTTCCTAGAATCCCTTCAATGAGTCTATTGAAATGTTTTCCCATCAATCCGAGGGCTCCAACTATAATAGAGATTATAGATGTTCCCATATGCCACATTATTATTATTATTATTATTTTTATTATTATTATTATTATTATTATTTCCTTTGATTTGAGTTGTATACTCATATCTTTCCGGGTTCCAGCCAGAGACCTAAGGTCAGAAATGGCATCATGACAAGGTCGTTGTATTTTGATAGCTTTTTGAAGATCTGCAAAGACACATTGCACTCTACAGGGACTTCCATATCAATAAGGAGGCTTTTTTTCTTTTTCTTTTTCTTTTTTCTTTTTTTTTGTGGTCTCTAATCACAATGTCTGGGCGATTAGCTTTGATTATTCTGTCTCTGTGTATATTGTTGTCCCATAAAATTGTTACAGGTCCCATCTCCGTAACCGTGTTTTGGGTGGTGTTCATACGAATTATTATTATTATTAATAATAATAATAATAATGAATTATTATTATTATTATTATTATTATTATTCGAAGCGAATAAACTCTCCGATAAAGAGAAATTTGTGGTAATAATGGTAATGATAGAATTATATATACCGGTACCTAAGTAATAATAATAATAGTAATAGTAGTAGTAGTAATATTGTGTGTGGTATCATCTTACCAGAGAGTAATTTTAAGTGCCCCTAGGAGACATGGGGGGTCTGTGAGTAAAAGGGGCACTGTGGGAGATTTATCCATGCACATTTGGTACGTTTTGTTTAGATCGTGAGCGTTTTGCGGTTTATATATACAATTGCGTACAAAGTAATATAATAGCATATTATTATTATTATTATTATTATTAAAAAATTCTTGTCAGTTTTATTTCATTTTATTTCATATTTAACTTTTGGAGATTTCATGAGCTCTCCTCATCTCATTCATACTCTCTTTTCTTTCTCCTCCTTACTCTCCTCATCTCTTTCCTTTCCTAATCTCTGTACTCTCCTCATCGCCTTACTCTCCTTGTTTTCTCTTTGCAACCTCCTTACTCTCCTTAACTTCTTAATCTTCGCGCTTCCCTTATAATCCCAATCTCCTTACTCTCCGTGTTTTCAATTTACTTTTCCCCATCTCTTGCTCTTCTTGTTTTCCCCTCTTATCCTCCTTACTCTCCTTCATCTCCTTACTCTCCGATTTTTCTCTTCGTTTCCTCCTTACAATCCCCAATCTCCTTACTCTCCCATTGTAATCCTTATCTTCCTCTTACTCCCGTTAATTTTGCCTCCCACCGATCCCTTACCCTCCTCATTTCCTTACTCCCTTTTCTTCTCCTCTTTACCTCCTCAATTTCTCCCTACTAGCCAAATCTCTATACACTCATCATCTTATTATTATCCTCCTCGCCTTCTCTTTATTTTCACATCCTTAGTCTTTTCCTCGACTCTCCTGCCTTTCTCTAGATCTCACGCCTCTTTCAAATTTACCTCCTACCCTGACCACACCCTAGTCCGACTTTTCCCCTCTCCTAAGCCTTGCCCACTTCCGCCCGATCATGCTGTTGCCACATAGTCGGTCGCTGCTCGCCATTGTATTTGTGGAATGGACATCTGTTGTCTTTTAGATTTGACTAACAAATGCTACTTATTTACAGAGCATGACGAAGGGTTCGACGCCACCACCTCTCTTCTTGCCTAACAAAAAAAAAATTGTATAAAATACTCAGCATTTCATTTGCGGTATGTTTTTTTATGCTCTCCTTCCGTTTTTGGCTGTAATGATTTCTTTGTTGAATGTTCGATTATTATTATTATTATTTGATTTTCTTTCTTTTCTTTTCATCAACCAAACCTCCCATCAAACAAACTTCTTTTCCTGCAAAGCAAGTAATTACCTTCTTCCTATTGTTATTCTTATTTTAACAGAAGCAATGGTAAATAATGACTTTTCTGCCAACCCTGTTTATTCTGCGGCATCTTATCAAAAACGGGGCTTTAAGGGTGGGGGTGGGGAACGGATTTAAAAGAATTCTAACTAACTGAAAAATGGCTGAACAAAAAAAATAGAAGTCTGTCCGAGAAAAGTAAATAATTTTCTTTGTCAAGAAAGAAAAAAAAAATTCTTCAAGTAAATAGATATTTTAAAAACAATAAATAAACAGGAAAATCAATTTTAACTTTAGAAGTAATAAATCAAATCTCATCTCACGACAGATCAATCAACCACTAATGTTTCTTTCTCTATTTCGTTATCATCGATCCCATACTGGAATCGGCAACAGAACACCTAACCAGATCCTTGGGATGATAGCAAGACAGGGTTTTATATGCGTGTAGCGTGTCGATGGCAAATAGACTTGGCGGAGCCCATCCCACACCAGGTCAAACCACAGCCGATGTCTTCCATCCTGAAGGCTCGCATTGGTTACGGACACGTGGCTAGTGATTTCATTGGTGGAAACTTCCGCCCTGGTCACTGACGTCAGTCTAGTAAGCCCTCCAGCATCATCAGAACAATGAGAACAGTGTAAGGAAAACACTGTTATAAAATCGAAATTATTATTACTATATCCATGGAGCATAGTATATAGGTAAACCATCAAACTGTGCACTCGGAGACGCTGATAGTTTAACGGTTATCGGCACGAAGGAATTCAGCTTGCCGAGTTCAATTCCCTCTCGAATCAGTTTTGTTCACTTCGCGCTAAATTCCCTTAGAAAGGCTGTGGGCTTACGGCCACTTCACGTGGAAATATATATATATATATATATATATATATATATATGGGCACCTCGGGGTGGTGTAATGGTTCGAACTTGTGCCACATCTAAGCTACGCTAAGAAAATAACTATATATATGAAATACAAGGGCCAAACACTACTATTCCATGGTTATAATTTATTACATTTGGATCGTGATTACGATTCCAATGTAATAAATTATAACCATGGAATGTTAGAGTTTAAGACTTTTATATTATATTCTTGCTCTCTCTTGGACATTGGGTTTTACCTGGATTCTATCCTCTTGAAATAAATATATATATATATATATATATATATATATATATATATATATATATATATTGACCACTAATAATATCAATATATATATATATTTTTCGAGATAACAGAGGGAAATAAATAAGGAAGACAAACTTGTGGGTAAATAATGAAATAGAAGGTTTACTACACGAAGGTACACTTAGCAATTGACCCAATGCTAACTCGGTATTTACCAGAGCTCCCCACAGAGTGGGATGTAGCACAAGGCTGGTTTAATGTGTTTGTTTTTTTTCCGAGCCCGTAGGCCCGACACAAATTCCCCGTAGACTCCGGTTTGTCTACCTCCCCAGACGAGACTCTGCCCTTCGAAATAGCCTCGTGTGTGTTCATCTCTGCCTGAAGACAAAGTGTTTGACAAGCACTAAGAGCTTAGCGCACGGCTAAGACCTAATGTTGACTCGGTATTTACTCGAGTGGATGATTATAAACGGACGATTCCATTTATGTATTTTATGATTCTTTGCCGGAGGCTAGCGTCGACAAGCAGAGTGACCTAATACTAACTCGGTATATATCTGAGCTCCCCACAGAGCGGGATGTGTCACAAGGCCGGTTTAACGTGGGTTTTTCCCAGACCGTAAACCCGGGAAAACATTCCCCGTAGACTCCGTATAAATAGGATTCGGTTTGTCTACATTCCCAGATGACACTCTGCCCTTCGGCATAGACTCGCCTGGGTTTCTCTCTCACCGAAGGCAGAGACTTCAACAAGCACTAAGAGTTTAGCGCGCGGCTAAGACCTAATACTGAGTCGGTATTTACTCGAGCTCCCCGCATTATAAACAGAGAATTCCATTCATTTATGTCATATATGACAGATTTAAGGGTCACCTCGACGTGGTGTAATGGTTAGAAAGCTTGTCTTACTAGACCAGTTACGACTGAGTAGTGATTTCGATCTTCACTGGGTGCCCCATACTTTCGGCCTTGTGCCACATCTAAGCCGGGCTTAGAAAATCGCTATATGATAGGTTTAAGGCCATACCACGTTGAAACACCGGATCTCGTACGATCAGAAAAGTTAAGCAACGTTGTGCCTGGTCAGTAACTGGATGGGTGACCACTTTGGAATGCCGGGTGTTGTAAGTCTGCAATGTGCGGGTGTTACAATGTCTCGGAACTGTTTAGTTTGTTATATTCACTTACATATAAATATCCTTAAGAAAGGTTAGGGGTCCACCCCTTCGCCCTCCAGCTATAGGTTAATTAGTAAATCTTGTGTTAGTAACTCATTATTATCTCCCAAAACAAATCTTATAATCTAAAATAACTTTCTTTTTTAAATATTTACGTGCCGCTAAATAAACAGGGGGGGGTTATAGAATCCTTATTCTAGATGAGGTTAACATGAAGAAACTGTCACGATGTAACTGAGTCGTAATTTAATAAATACTTCAAGAATATTACAAATGTCGTATATACTCGGGCACGCGTGATCTCGCGATCTTTTGAGCTGCACATTTTAACTTATAAAAATGACTTTATCTTGTATCTCGTGTATCATGCGAATTTCTTTTTTGAGGAAACAAATTATTATAGTCTAGACTCTTTTCCTCTATCTCTTTATCCCACCTTCTTGTTAAATTTTAAAAAGTAAAAAGGGAATCATAAAAAAATATCCTTAATAAATCTCATCTCATAAACGCGTACAGACATACGTAACCGAACGAGAAACAGCAAAACATCTGAAGTTTTGCTTAACTATAACCAATAATAATATGTGCAATATTCACATCTTAGTATCGTCTTATAAAATTAGTCAGTTATGTGCCATGCGTCAGACAGGCTTAAGAGATCACGTATCTTTCGATACATGACTGACGAGGCAGGTATTTTTAGGTTGCCATTTCTTTCTGCGGTAGACCAGTTGCCATCCAAGGCTATAGAACCCAGTCTGTCCTGATAGTTAACCAGAGCTGGGGAGGGGAGAAGAGGATTAATTAATTCCCAAGGGATTGAGCACGTAAGTGAATTTCAGTCAGTTTTGTGCCATGCGTCATACACGCTTAGGCGATCATGTATCTTTCCCGATACATGACTGACGAGGCAGTAGGTTGCCATTTCTTATATCAGTTCTCGTACATGCCATCCAAGGCTATAGAACCCTGATACTTACTCAGAGCAGGGGGGGGCAGAAGAACAGGATTCATATTCCCAAGGGTATTAACACGTGACTGGAATTCGAACTCGGCTCTCCGATTCCTCAATCCGAGCCGCTATCCATCGTACCCCCTGTCGAATAATAATGTTCTATTCCTTTGTTCTAAGTAGCAGGACAGACTGGGTTCTATAGCCTTGGATAGTAAATGGTCTATCGCAAAAAGAAATAGCAACCTACTGCAGGAAAACATCTGCCTCGTCAGTCATGCATCGAAAGATACATGATCGACTAAGCGTGTATGACGCATGCCACATAACTGACTGATTTTATAATATGATACTAATATGTGAATATTACACATAAATCTTGTTTATTTTAAATACAGCTGTACTTTTTGACTACAGTAAATAGATATATAGTTTGGTCAACGTCGTAGACAGGGCCAGCAGTGTATACGCTAATTTTATATCTCATATATATGATGCGACCCTCTTAAAATCACCTTCAGAATTAGTTCTTCAAAAGTCGCATGTTACGTGAGTATATATGGCATATGAATAATTTTGTTGTTTGTTGGGCGGTTTGTAAATAAATATTTTTTGGTGTATATCTTCATTTTTAAAAAAAAAAAACTTATTTTGCACCTTTTAACTAATATGAGAATGCAGTGATTTTCTTTGACTAACATGAATGCCAGTAAATATGGGTCTCCACTACCTCCATTTTTGCATTTATTTTCTCCTTTCCTGAACATCATTCTAAAAAACTTTTTTTTTAATCGACTTATTGAGCAAACAAAAATACCAACTTCTAAGCACAAATACTTTCTAATAATCTAGTGGAAATACAAAACACTATATTTATCGGTCACGCATCCTTTTATACCCTATTTGTGATAATGTGATATTCCGTTGTTATAATAATAGGAGGCATTACTCGATACTAAAACGTGGACATGCCTCGTGTTAGCAACATGACGATGGATTATCTTATTAGTAAATAGGGGAGACCAGGTTGCTGATACATTATCTCGTGTTTTATGTCAACTTTGTATTGATATTTTTTTAATGTTAATGATTTTCAAAACCGTTTTTTTTTCGTATATGTGATAACAGGATGAATTGTACAGAAAAAAAATCCTCAATTACACACGCAGAAAACAGAATTAAGTAAAATGAAGACAGTTCTTAAATATTCGGACAGTATGGGAAAACTCGTATATTATATGAGTAATATATATATATATATATATATATATATATATATATATATATATATATATATATATATATATATACATAAAGGTTGGGTCAGGTAATCGAGAATAAATTATAAAACAAAAATATATGCAAAAGAAAAGAATAACTATTTTTCTTAATATATATATATATATATATATATATATATATATATATATATATATATATATATATATATAAATATATAATTGTGTATACGGAATGAATTCCAATAACCAACAATTACTATTCTTAAAAGAATGCTCAATACAAAAGTAGAGCAGATATAATTATTTATTTAAAATTTATAACATAAACATGATATAAAATCACTACAAAAATAGCTATTTTGTTTCAAAACTTCCGTTAATTAATTTGAAACTTTTAAAACCATTTGTTTTGCATTCAACATCATCACTTGATAAGACACCGGGAGTGTTGAAACGAAATGGCTATTTTTGTAGTGATTTTATAACATATTTATGTTATTAATTTTTTATAAATAAATATATATATATATATATATATATATATATATATATATATATATATATATATTCAACTTAATTAAACAGAAAAATATTATTCGATGAAACAGGCAACAGGCATTTACCTTAGGGATAGCCCTGGAAATGACCATATTCTCGGATCAATTGTTTTTTCCTACATGATGATCGGAGCTTTTAACAAATCTTTGGTATTGTGATGCCTCTAGTTCGTCTCTCTCCCAAGGACTCTCCAGAAGTTATAGTCCATAAAATTTAAGTCAGGATATATACGATACCCACATTTTGGGGGCGATGTGATCCCAAAAATTCTCCACTTGCTTCACGTAGTACACGAGGGAGACAAAATGAGACCGACTGGAACACGTATGGTCTCATATCAGCCACTCACCAATTCACGGCTTCACTGCCGTATCCAGCACCTTTGTTTAGGTACTGACATCGCCCCAGAGACTATTCAGTAAGAAAAATGGAGGCATGAAACGGCTGGTATTGACCACGAGTCCCAAAATCATCGACAGTGACGTTGTTGAAGGTCATTGCAGGTTCAACTAATGTCAGATCTGGTCTATCCGGCGATTCACCTGCTGATCGGAATGTTTGCATTTATGCAGCAAACGTTTTCTCTCATCTTGAATGATGTTGAACTGATGTTTTCATGCAAGAACATTAAGCATTTTGGTTAGAACAGTTATCGTCGGGGTTGATAAGGCCCTGTCCCGGCTACACTTTCTTGCAACCAGTTACCGCTTAGAAATATCCTTTCCCTTGGCCACCGATGGCATGATCACAGAAGACGATGTCAGTCGTTCTTGCAACCTGTTACCACTTAGAAAGATCCTTTCCCTCTGACACCGATGGCATGTTCACAGAAGACAATGTCGGTCGTTCTTGCAACCTGTTACCACTTAGAAAGATCCTTTCCCTTGGACACCGATGGCATGTTCACAGAAGACAATGTCAGTCGTTCTTGCAACCTGTTGCCGCTTACAAAGTTCCTTTCCCTTGGTCATCGATGGTATGTTCACTCAAGATGATCTTGGTCATTATTGCAACTTGTTTCCGTTTATAAGGATCCTTTCCCTTGTCCTCCGATGTCATCTTCATATGGTCGTTCTTGCAACCTCTTACCGCTTAGAAGGATCCCTTCGCTTGGCTACCGATAACATGTTCACTCAGGATGATATCAGTCGATCGTGTAACCTGTTACCGCTTAGAAAGATCCTCGCCATTGACCACAGATGACATCTTCATTCAAGACATCATTATTGCAACCTGTTACCGCTTGTAAGGATCCGTTCCCTTGGCAACCGATGGCACGTTCACGCCAGACGATCTCGGTCGTTCTTGCAACCAGTTACTGCTTAGAAAGATCCTTTCCCTTGGCCACCGATATCTTCACTCAAGACAATATGATCGTTTTTGTAACCTGTTACCGCTTAGAAGAATCCTTAACCTAGGCCACTGATGGTATGATCAGTGAAGACTATCTCAGTCGTTCCTGCTACCTGGTGCCGCTTAGAAGGATCCTTTCCCTTGACCACCGATGTCATGTTCACTCAAGACAATCTCAATCTTCATTGCAACCTGTTACCGCTGATATGGATCCTTTCCTTTGGCCACCGATGGCATGTTCACGCTTGACTATCTCGATCATTCTTGCAACTAGTTACCGTTTAGAAGGATTCTTTTCCTTGGTCACCGATGGCATGATGCCTCAAGAGGATCTCGATCGTTCTTTCAACCTGTTACCGCTTAGAAGCATCCTTTCCCTAGGCTACTGATGACATGATCACTCAAGAGGATCTCGGTCGTTCTTTTAACTTGTTACCGCTTAGATGTATCCTTTCCCTAGGCTACTGATGGCATGATCACTCAAGAGGATCTCGGTCGTTCTTTTAACCTGTTACCGCTTAGAAGCATCCTTTCCCTAGGCTACTGATGGCATGATCACTCAAGAGGATCTCGGTCGTTCTTTCAACCTGTTACCGCTTAGAAGGCTCCTTTCCCGAGGCCACTGATGGCATGATCACTCAAGAGGATCTCGGTCGTTCTTTCAACCTGTTACCGCTTAGAAGTATCCTTTCCCTAGGCCACTGATGGCATGATCACTCAAGAGGATCTCGGTCGTTTAGTTCTTTCAACCTGTTACCGGTCGTTCTTTTCAACCTGTTACCTTTCCTTAGGCTACTGATGGCATGATCACTCAAGAGGATCTCGGTCGTTCTTTCAACCTGTTACC